GAATGATTTTAAATGGGACGCTGAGCAACACCAAGCCTTTGAGCAAATTAAACGCGAGATAGTTCATGCAGTAGCCCTTGGACCAGTCCGGATCAGGCCAGATGTAAAAAATGGACTCTACACCGCAGCCAGGGAGAATGGTTTTACCTGGAGCCTCTGGCAGAAAGCTCCAGGGGAGACTCGAGGTCGACCCCTCGGCTTTTGAAGTCGGGGTTGCAGAGGACCTGAGGCCATCTATACCCCAACTGAGAAAGAGATACTGGCAGCCTGTGAAGGCATTCGAGCTGCTTCAGAAGTGATTGGCACTGAAGCACAGCTCCTCCTGTCACCCCGGTTGCCAGTGCTGGGCTGGATGTTCAAAGTCAGGGTCTCCTCTACACATCATGCAACCGATGCTACATTAATGGGTTATGCTTATTACACAATGATCTGGAATAGGAAATCCCACTCGTCCAGGAATTCTAGAAGCCATCATGAACAGCCAGAGGGCAAAGATTTTGGAATGTCCCTAGAGGAGGAGACAATGCATGCTGAAGAGGCCTCACCACATAATAAACTGCCAGAAAGTGAAAAGCAACATGCCTTGTTTTCTGATGGGGCCTGCCATGTTTTTGGAAATCATCGGAGATGGAAAGCAGCTGCATGGAGTCCCCAGTGACAAGTTGCGGATACTGCAGAAACTGCTGAAGGAGAGGTTGAATAGAGTCAGTTTGCTGAGGTGAAAGACATCCAGCTGGCCTTGGGCATTGCTGAACGAGAAAAGTGGCCAGTGATAAAGTTCCTGTGGTGAACATAAAGAATTTGCTGGGGAAGACAGTCTGGGTTATTCCTCCTTCAGGTAAAGGCAAACCCACTCGTGGGATTGCTTTTGCTCAGGGACCTGGATATACTTGGTGGGTAATGTGGCAAGATGGGGAAGTCCGATGAGTACCTCAAGGCGATTTGATTTTAGAGGAAAACAGGCAATGAACTCAATTATGGTGTCGCCTGCTATGTAACACTTTTATCGCCCACCAACTAGATGTCTTCAGGTCACCAGCGACTGCCCCTGACTTCCCTCCAACCATCATTCCAACAAAGAGTGAACTTTGATGAAAGCAGAATGGCTCTGCAGTGACCAGACGAGTTCTGCAGTGTCATCATCAGGCAACAATTCAACAGTGCATACCGTCTCTCCTGCTCTGAAAGACTGTTACAAGAGATAGAGTCCAACATCATGGACCGGATGAACTCAGCAGCTTTATAGGGATTGATCCATGCACTAAGTCTGATATCTCTTTCTTTGTGTGTGTGTGTAGATATAAATATATATATATGAGACAAGAGTGATGGCATATTAAAAAATGTGGGATCTGAGCATGACATGAATGGTATGGAATAAGGGATGGATACTGTCCTGGGTTCAGAAATAGCAGTCATTTTTCTCTGTCTTAGCAGCTGGTGCAGTGCTGTGTTTTTGACTTTCGGCCTGGGAACAGGATAACAACCTTTTTAGTTGTTGCTATGTGATGTTTACTCCGACCAAGGACTTTCTGAGTCTCATGCTCTGCCAGGGAGGAGGATAAGCCAGAAGGAAGCAGAGACAGGACACCTGACCCAAACTAACCAAAGAGGTATTCCATACCACAGCATGTCATTCCCAGGATGTAGAAGTGGGGGCAGTTACCCGGAAGGGCTAGAACACTGCTCAGGTCGGGCTGTGTATTGGTCGGCGGGTGGTGAGCGGTTGTATTCTCTCTCCTTGTTATTTCCCTTATCATTATTATTTTTGGTGGTAACAGTAGTGATTTTGTGTTATACCTTAGTTACTGGACTGTTCTTATCTCAACCCATGGGAGTTACATTCTTTTGATTCTCCTCCCCATCCCTCCAGGAGCTGGGGGAGGAAAGTGGGAGAGTGAGTGAGTATCTGTGTGGTTCTGGGTTGCTGGCTGGGCTTAAACCACGACACAGAGGCATTCTGATGAAAAAGTAATATGAAGCAGCTGCAGAAGTAAACTGCACAGTGTTAACAGTCAAGGAGTTTGCTGTGTCATTACCCACAGTTAATGGGCCATGCAGGTTGGAATGCAACCTAATATGAGCAATAGAAACAGAATAATTATTGCATCAGCCAGTACAGAGGGCCTATGAGCCTCTGCTCTGACATCTTGACAGCAGATGAAGAGGAGCTTTGGTGCTGCTGGAGTGCAGAAGTGTCAGGCATTTTATGTTCACTGATGTACATGCAGAATCAAAAGCAGTACTTACTAACCCCTATGGCTCAGCCATATTGTCCTTCTACTTTAATTATCTACATAGTGGGAACAGGATGGCTTGCAGTTTTCTACTCTCCCCTGGTCCTGATCTGCTTTGTCCAAGCCCAGTCCTGGTAAATCCCTTAACTGGCTTAGCTTTTCAATCACTTGTTCAATGGGGTTTCCTTGTTCTGATACTAGTATGAGGTTGTTTGGGGGGTTTTTGTTTGTTTGCTTTGGTTTTGGTTTTGTTTGCCTTTTTTTTTTTTTCTCATCCACCCTGTCTTGCAATACGGTATCTGCTCCTTCCTCCATGAGGCAAACTGGCCAGTTCTGGGGTTCCTCCCCTGGCCTCTGCTTGTATTTATCCAATAAATTACTAATCTCCTCAGGACTATAGTCTGTCAATTCATCCTTTTTTACTTGTCTGTTTGCCCTGATGATCATCATACTTTTAAACGTAGAATCTGTGCTGGCTCCTTCCTTTTTCACGTCTGCCTTGTCTCTGGTATTTGATTCTGACTCACTAGTATCCCAAATATCTCCATTCCATGTCTCTGTGTCCCAATCTGGTTGGGTATTCACACCAGGCTTTGGGCATCTCCGCCGCACAGCTCACATGGCATACAATATTGCTAATTTCTCTAGGTTGTTTTATTTTTCTTCTGCCACCCTGATGCTGCTTGGGTGGCAGCTAATAAAGCTTGCGGTTGCACTACCCCTCTCGCTTCTTCAGTTAGCAGTTCCTGTTTCAACTGATCTATATCTGTTCCTCCAAGTCTTGGATTCACCATCAGGTTATTATAAACACACTAAGCAGCGCTCCTCCCATGCACCCAGCATGTTGCAGGCATTCTTTAGGCTTTGTTTGTGGTGTCTCTACAAACTGTCCCCAGTACTTCAATAGGTCGAGAGGGCATTTTTCACTCCATGGCTCGAGCCCCACCTGAGTACAGGTTTTCCACCTATCCCAAAAAGTATTCCACGGCTCCTGGCCGTTCCACCAGTGGAGCACTGGGAGCCAAATCGTACGGCAGCTTCCTCTTGAACATGGTTACCCCACTCTATCAAATAACAAAAGAGGCCTTACTGTCTTTTAACTCCCCCCCCTTTTTTTTTCCCCTGCATCTACAAATGCCTGCCTGCTCAGCAGCAGTTACAATTGCCTGCCTGCTCAGCAGCAGCTATAAATGCCTGCCAGTAACTGCAATTCTGCTTTAACCCTTTCTTGCCCAGAATGTTAATCTGCTACCCATTAAAAACTGGGTCACGAGCCTGACAACAAAAAATACACAGAACACCGTCTCTTGGTGCAGCTACTCACTTCACTGACCAAGCCCTGCCCTCAACACGCACACACAAAGGATCCCACACTCTCCACACAACTACCATACTTGAAACAAAAAATCCAGACAGACAACCGTTACCCGCTACGCAGCCCCACATGCAGAAAGTGGCACAATCCAGTAGCAGTGCCTCTGGCCCCACGTACAGAACGTGGCAGAATTCGATACCTGTGCACCCCCACTAAAAGCCCCCATGTAAAGAATGCAGAGCAATCTGGAAGCATTTTGGTCAGTATAAAAGCCCAAGCCTCATACGATGTGGGGGAGGCAGAGCCTCTGCGGGGACACCCGCTAAGGTTGAGCCTGCCACCTCGCACTGCAGTGATGCTTCTCGGAACTGGTTTCCTGTTAGTCTCCACGGTGTCCTTGTGCCACGTTCTGTACATGGGACTGTAGTGGGAGTAATGATTGTCTGGATTTTGTGCTTCAAATATTGTAGTTGTGTGGAGTGTGCTTGTGGGATCCCATACGTGTGTGCATGTGCGTTGAGGGCAGACGGCGTTCTGTGTATTTTTTGTTGTCGGGTTTGCATTAAAGATTTAATGGGTAGCAGATTAACATTTTGGGCAAGAAAGGGTTAATGCAAAAGTGTGGTTGCTGGCAGGTATTTATGGCAGCTGCTGAGCAGGCAGGAAGCTGTAGCTGCTGTTGAGCAGGCAGGCGTTTATAGCTGCACCGAGCAGGCCGGCATCTGTAGCCGCACAAAAGAGGGTGAGCGACTTTGGAAAATAAAAAAAAAACCAAAAAAAACCCCCACGTTATTTGCTAGAGTTCAGTCCCCATGTTCAAAAGAAGCTGCCCTCCGATTCGGCTCCCAGTGCTCCACCGGTGGAACGGCCAGGATGGATACCGGAGCTGTGGAGTGAAGAAAGAAAAAAAAACAAAACAAAACAAAAAACCTCTCAATCTATTGAAGTATTGGGGCAGTTTGTAGAGACACTACAAGCAAAGCCTAAAGAGCACCTGCAACATGCTAGGTGCATGGCAGGAGCCTTGCTTAGTGTGTTTAAAGAAACCTGGGAGTAAATCCAAGACTTGGAGGAACAGATTGGTTGAAACAAGAACTGCTAACTTAAGAAGCGAGAGGGGTAGTGCAACCACAAGCTTTATCAGCAGTCACCCAAGCAGCATCAGGGTGGCAGAGAAAGAAGGAAAAAAATTCGGTAATGATACAGCAAACTCCTTGACTGTTAACACTGTGCAGTTTACTTCTGCAGCTGCTTCACATTCCTTTTGCATTAGAATGCCTCTGCTTTAAGGAATCACTTTAACCTGTCTACTTCTTAAGAACTGATAACCTGGAGGAGGGGGTATATTTGTGTCCTCCTACCTACAGGTCCATGGTGGCTGCCTGCACAGTTTGTCAAGCTTTGCCATGAGCTGGACAGACGACTGGAAGAACCGGATGCCTCAGGACCTGACCATGAATACCCCGAGCAGAATGAGATAGAGGAAGAGAAAAACAAATGATTGCAAAACATCACTTGGGGACAAGTAAAAAGTAAGACCTTGAATATGTGTGCTTGTAAAGTAGCTATTATTAGAGGCTGTGATTTCCTGTATAAAACCACGTGTATTTACTAGCCAGTTGCTAATTGTCGTGGTTTAAACCCAGTCAGGTAACTTGCGGCAGTGGCGTGGGGCACAGCATATGTTTCCAGCCACCCGGTGGTTGATTCCACCATAGTAAGCACATGGCGCTTGCCTTGGGGGGTTGGTGGCAGTGTGATATAGTCAATCTGCCAGGCCTCCCCATATTTATACTTCAACCATCGTCCTCCATACCAAAGAGGCTTTAACTGCTTGGCTTGTTTAATTGCAGCACATGTTTCACACTCATGAATAACCTGGGCAATAGTGTCCATTGTTAAGTCCACCCCTCGATCACGGGCCCATCTATATGTTGCATCTCTGCCCTGATGGCCTGAAGTGTCATGGGCCCACCGGGCCAAAAATAATTCACCTTTATGTTGCCAATCTAAGTCCATCTGAGCCACTTCAATCTTAGCCGCTTTATCCACTTGTTGGTTGTTCTGGTGTTCCTCAGGGGCCCGACGCTTGGGTACATGGGCATCTACATGACGTAACTTTACTACCAGGTTCTGCACCCGGGCAGCAATATCTTTCCACAGTGCAGCAGCCCAGATGGGTTGCCAGTTGCTCTGCTTCCATTGCTTCAACCACCCCCACAGGGCATTTGCCACCATCCATGAGTCAGTATAGAGATAAAGTACTGGCCACTTTTCTCGTTCAGCAATGTCCAGGGCCAGCTGGATGGCTTTCACCTCGGCAAATTGACTCGATTCACCCTCTCCGTCAGCAGTTTCTGCAACTTGTCGTCCAGGACTCCATACAGCTGCCTTCCATCTCCGATGCTTTCCCACAATACGGCAAGAGCCATCAGTAAACAAGGCATACTGCTTTTCACTTTCTGACAGTTTACTATATGGTGGGGCCTCTTCAGCGTGCACCACCTCCTCCTCTGGTGACATTCCAAAATCTTTGCCCTCTGGCCAGTCCATGATGACTTCTAGAATGCCTGGACGACTGAGATTTCCTATTCGAGTTCATTGTGTAATTAGTGCAGCCCATTTACTCCATGTAGCATCAGTTGCATGATGTGTAGAGGAGACCCTGCCTTTGAACATCCAGCCCAGCACGGGCAGCCGGGGTGCCAGAAGGAGCTGTGCTTCAGTGCAAATCACTTCCGAAGCAGCTCGAACCCCTTCATAGGCTGCCAGTATCTCTTTCTCAGTTGGGGTATAGCTGGCCTCAGATCCTTTATATCCCCGACTCCAAAAGCCGAGGGGTCGACCACGAGTCTCCCCTGGAGCTTTCTGCCAGAGGCTCCAAGTAGGACCGTTCTCCCCAGCTGCAGTGTACAGTACATTTTTTACATCTGGTCCGGTCCGGACTGGTCCAAGGGCTACTGCATGAACTATCTCGCGTTTAATTTGCTCAAAGGCTTGTTGCTGCTCAGGGCCCCATTTAAAATCATTCTTCTTCTAGGTCACATGATAGAGAGGGCTTACAATCGAACTGTAATTTGGGATGTGCATTCTCCAGAACCCCACTGCACCCAAGAAAGCTTGCGTTTCTTTCTTATTAGTTGGTGGAGACATTGCTGTTATCTTGTTGATCACATCTGTGGGGATCTGTCTACGTCCATCTTGCCGTTTTATTCCCAAGAATTGAATCTCCTGTGCAGGTCCCTTGACCTTACTCCGTTTTATGGCAAAAACGGCTTTCCGCAGGATTTGAATTATTTTCCTCCCTTTCTCAAAGACTTCTTCCGCTGTATCGCCCCACACAATAATGTCATCAATGTATTGCAGGTGTTCTGGAGCTTGCCCCTGTTCCAGTGCAGTCTGGATCAGTCCGTGGCAAATGGTAGGGCTGTGTTTCCACCCCTGGGGCAGTCGGTTCCAAGTGAACTGGACACCCCTCCAAGTAAAAGCAAACTGTGGCCTGCACTCTGCTGCCAAAGGAATTGAGAAAAATGAATTGGCAATATCAATCGTGGCATACCACTTGGCTGCCTTTGACTCTAGTTCATACTGAAGTTCTAGCATGTCCGGTACGGCAGCACTCAATGGTGGTGTGACTTCTGAAGTTCTAGCATGTCCGGTACGGCAGCACTCAATGGTGGTGTGACTTCATTCAGGCCATGATAGTCTACTGTTAGTCTCCATTCTCCATTAGACTTTCGCACTGGCCATATGGGGCTATTAAAGGGTGAGCGGGTCCTGCTGATCACCCCCTGACTCTCCAGTCTACGGATCAGCTGATGGATGGGAATCAGGGAGTCTAGGTTGGTGCGATATTGCCGCCGGTGCACTGTTGTGGTCGCAGTTGGCACTTGTTTTTCTTCAACTTTCAGCAACCCCACAGCAGAGGGATCTTCTGAGAGACCAGGCAAGGTGGACAGCTGCTCAATTTCCTCAGTCTCCAAAGCAGCAATACCAAAAGCCCACCAGTACCCTTTTGGGTCTTTGAAGTACCCTCTCTTGAGGTAGTCTATGCCAAGAATGCATGGAGCCTCTGGACCAGTCACAATAGGGTGCTTTTGCCATTCCCTCCCAGTCAGGCTGATTTCAGCCTCCAGGACAGTCAACTCTTGGGATCCTCCTGTTACTCCAGAAATATAGATGGGTTCCACCCCTTGACAGCTTGATGGCATCAGGGTACACTGTGCACCGGTATCTACTAGAGCCTTATACTTCTGTGGGACTGATGTGCCAGGCCATCTGATCCACACAGTCCAGTAAATCCGATTGTCCCCTACCTCCACCTGGCTGGAGGCAGGGCCCCTCTAATGGTCGTCACAGCATTGGACACTTAAGTCGTGCTGAAAGGGATTATTCTTCGTTATCACAGGAGCTGGAGTAAAATCAGCTCTTCCACTCCATCTGGGAAACTGCTCACCAGAGATTGAAGCCGTAGCTCTCCTGGGAGGATCAGTCTTGGCCCTTGCTCCCCTCTTCAGTTCACTCACCCATTCCTCCAAAGCTGAAGTAGGTTTTCCATCCCACTTTGTCATGTCTTCTCCGTGATCCAGCAGGTAAAACCATAGGGTACCCCGTGGCATATACCTTCTGTATCTCCTCTCTTGAACAATAGGACGCCTTTTGTTAATAGCTGAGACGTGTGTTGGTACACGTGAGGAGCTGGAAAAATCAGATAGATCGTCCCTCAATTGTTCGAGGTCTTGCGACAGTTTTTTCACAGCTGAGATGATGGAAGGGGTGAGATTGTCTTCGAACTCTCGGAGTTTATGAACCATTTCATCCATTGTTAGTGGTACTATGTCATTCCAGGTTACTGTTGCCAATGAATGGGCATACGATGACGGTGCATTCCGTGTAAGTTTTCGCCACATGGGTCGTGTACATTCAACTTCATCTGCATCTATAGGTGTATCCCCGTTATTCGGCTTGATGTGATAGAGCATCTCTACGATGGCCGATTCCCTCAGAGACTGGATGCCATTGTCTATAGTAGTCCACTTGGCCGAACGACTCGTAACATAGTCCTTGTACGGAAACCTTTCTTTCACAGCTGCCAAGAGCCGCCTCCAAAGGCTGAGGGACTTTTTCTCTCTTGCAATTGCTTTGTCAATTCCCCCTTCTCTAGCAAGTGATCCCAGCTGCTTGGCTTCTGTACCTTCTAGTTCGTGACCATCGGCCCCATTGTCCCAGCATCGGAGTAACCAGGTGATGATGTGCTCCCCTGGTTGACGGGTAAAATCTTTTCGCATATTCCGCAGCTCGGTTGAGGTCCGAGGTCGAGAAGTTACCTCTTCTTCTTCATCTTCGTCATGTGATGATGACTCCTGATCAGATTCTGGACCGGGTGGTGAATTCATTGGTTGTTCATCTCACTTCACCCTTTTTGCCTCCTTTTTGCTTGTTCTCTTGCGTACAGGGGCAACCGATATTGGTACGAATTGGTCCTCTGGTTTGGCTGCAGTGATTATCACTGTGGTTTGAGTAGCGACTGTACTTGTTGCTGGGGGTGGTGTAGCTGCTGTGCTTGGAGCTGGAGTGACCGCGCTGTCTGTTGCAGTTGAAGTATGAGCAGCTGCTGTTGTACTTGCCGCTGGGGTAGCTGTGCTGTTCATTGCAGCCAAAGTTTGAGTAGCGACTGTCGCTTTGCCCTCAGATCCGCCGACATTCTTTTCCTTTTGAAGGTGCTGGATAGTGTTGAACAAGGCCCTGTAAGCACAGGCCAAGCCCCAGCACGTTGCCGTGATTTGTCCATCTCTGGTATGGCCAGAATGACCACACACCTCATTTAAGTGTTTTACTAATTCTTCTGGATTTTGCAGTTGTTCGGTAGTGAAATTCCAAAGTACTGGAGGGGCCCACTGACCTAGATACTTGCCCATACTATCCCACACACCCTGCCACTCATGGCTGTCCAGCCTCAGGGAAAATCTCTCCGTCCTCCTACATCGTCGTTTGACCCCAGACAAGACCCAAACCTGACTCTGCTTGACTCTTGAAATTAGCAGTGGGCAAAACACACTCTGTATGAGTGTTAGCATGGTGATTCCCATCACCATCAGCAAACAAGTCTCAACAGCATTAAAAGGCCATTCAAAAAATTCAAAACTCTCAAATGCAAATGGTCTGGGGGGAAAACTAGGAGGGTAAAAGGATGTCTCCTTCACAGGTTGAGCACCTGAGAAGGAGAAAAAAGATGTGTAATTGCTAAACACCTCCATCATATACCTCCCAAAGTATAAAGGTGGTGACCACGCTGGGAACATAAGCCAGATCAGTTTCATGATCAATGATTCTATTGTATTACAAGTCATTACCATAAAGTACAATGGGACAAAAACCTTAGCCCAAGCCCCTCATTTGAAAAACACTAATACAGCAAATACCAGATGGACGTAAGATATGATATACTGAAACTGTGAGATCAAGAGGAAAAACCTTGAGAGCCAATAAATCATCATTGTGACGAGTGACTATCAATCCAGTCAGATCTGTCGTTATCTCAACACTTCGTGCCCCACGTTGGGCGCCAAAACGAACTGTCGTGGTTTAAACCCAGTCAGGTAACTTGTTCACTCACTCCCAGTGAGTGGTGCCAAGCTGACAACAATCGAGGTCCGTGTCCGTCCCCCCTCCCCCCCGCACCGGGGCTCTCCCCTTCCCCGCTCCCCGAGGAACGGGGAGGAGGATCGAGAGAGTGCAACTCCTACGGGTTGAGACAAGAACAGTCCAGCAACAAATCACCACCGCTACTATCAACTACAACAATGATAAGGGAAAATAACAAGGGAAGAGAATACGATACCACCGGCCAAGAAAACGAGTTCCACCCGGAAGCCCCTGTCCTTCCGGGTAACTCCCAGTTACCCCTCACCCCGGGCATGACGTGCTGTGGTATGGAATACCTCCCCGGCTAGCCCGGGTCAGGCGCCCCGTCCCTGCTTCCTCACAGCTTCCCCTCCTCCCTGGCAGAGCATGAGCCTCACAGAGTCCTTGGTCAGGGTAAACATCACTTAGCAACAACTGAAAACATCGGCTTCACCAACACTGTTCTCAAGCTGGAAGCCAAAACACAGCACTGCACCAGCTAGCACAAAGGAAAAACATGACTGCTACTGCCGAACCCAGGACACTAATAAGAAACTACACCTTGTATTGTATGGATTTGTCACTTGTAAAAGAGATGTTAGAGCATGCCAATTTGCAGCAGCTGCTAGAAAATGCTAAGGCAGAAGCCAGAAAGATTCTAATACAATGGTAGCGTTACAAAGTAGGTGATAGAACAAATTAAGAGGGTGGGAGAATTCCAGCTCGTCCCTCGCTGCCATCAGCATCTTCAACATGCTTCTGCACCCTATAATAGTTACTCTGCTAACGTAAATCTGTATGTGCTTTGACATAGTAGTGACTTGTTACTGGATGAAGCAGGTGAAACTCTGCATTGACAACGAGGTGCAAGGACTGAGGTTGGCCAAATGCCTGCTACCACAGTCAAGGGCAAGACTGGGTTGGCCTCTGTGTTTGCCGCCAAGAGGAACGTTTAACTCCGCTGTTGGCTGCTGTTGGCTGCAACCCGGCAGGCGTGGAGCGGTGGGGACACATGCCATGCCAGTCCTTGATGTGAGGGATGGCCTCCCCTGTTATCAGAGAGCTATCCAGGAGAAAAAGGGCAGACCAAGCAGCCTGTGATTGGCGTATGTAGGAGATATGATCTAGTCCAAATCCCCTGCTCAGGTAGGGTCATCCAAAAGATATATCGTGGGTTCAGCAGTAGCTGTCATGTTTCTCCTTCTTGGTAGCTGGTGCAGTGCTGTGTTTTGACTTTTGGCCTGGGAACAGAGCTGATAGCGATGTTTTGGTTTGGCCAAGGACTTTGTGAGCCTCATGCTCTGCCAGGGAGGAGGGGAAGCCAGGAGGAAGCAGAGACAGGACACCTGACCCAAACTAGCCAAAGAGGTATTCCATACCACAGCACGTCATGCCCAGGATGTAACTGGGAGTTAGCCGGAAGGGCTGGGAGACTGCGGGGTTGGAAGAGTTATGGGTCAGAGCTTGGTCGGGCTTGGGGGGTGAGTTATCGGTTGGCTGGTGGTGAGGTGTTGTATTCTCTTCCCTTGTTATTTCCTTTATCATTGTTATCATTGGTGGTAGCAGTAGTGATTTGTGTTATACCTTAGTTACTAAACTGTTCTTATCTCAACCCGTGGGAGTTGCATTCTTTTTGACTCTCCCTTCCATCCCTCTGGGAGCAGGGGGAGGGAAAGAAGGGGGGGAGTGAGTGAATTAATTGCCTGACTGGGTTTAAACCAGGACAAACAACAACAACAAAAAAATGAATGCAAGGATTTTCTCCACACGGACAGTTAGCAAAAGCGGAATTTGTACTAAATTCTTTAAATTTTTCTAGTTTTGATTCTCTTTCCACAATACAGTGATTGTGACATCTGATGGATGATTTCTTGCCCAAACCACTGGTTCTATATAAAGACCTACATGATAACGAGTGGAAAGGACCAGTGCCATTGCTGATATGGGGTCAAGGATACCGCTGAGTTGAGACAAGGAAGCACAAAAGTACAAAATGTAATCAGTTCTAAGTAATGTTAAGTTTGATGGCTTTGTAATGGAAAATAACTGGGGTGCTTGGAGGTAGTTGACATAGTTTCAGGCCCTCTGGGATTGTTTTGGGGCAATTGGGAGAGGAAGTTATTCAGGACAGCAGTGGCAAATAGATTTTTCTGAATTACCGAGAAAAGGAGGTTACCAATATTTGTTGGTATTAACGGATACTTTTTCAGGTTGGCCAGAAGCATTCCCTTGTAGGATAAATAATGCAAGACAAGTAATTAAAACATTATTAAATGAGATAATACATCGGTTTGGAGTACCAGCGGCAATTTCTTCCGACCGAGGCTCGCACTTTTGTGCAAAATTGTTACAAAAAAATAGCAAAAATTTAGAAATTGATTGGCAACTACATGTTCCATACAGGCCTCAGGCCAGTGGGCAAGTAGAAAAGATGAACCATCTGATTAAACAACAGATTAGTAAAATACGTCAAGAAACAAACTTATATTGGTACCAAGCTTTACCACTGGCCCTATTAAGAATTCGAACTAAACCTCGGTCGAAAGAAGGGGTTAGCCCATTTGAAATTTTATATGGAAGACCATATCAGTCCCAGTTTAAAGGAGAGAGCCTTCAGGAAGTGGGAGAAGGCTATCTCCAACAGTTTCTGGTCAATCTGGGAAAACAATTAGAATAAATAAAAAAGAGAATAGTAGGGACAAGAGCAAGAGGTTTGGATTACCCAATTCACCCTTTTAGATCCGGAGACTGGGTTTACATTAAGAATTTTTCAGGAGATCCTCTACAGGAAAAGTGGAGTGGACCGTATCAGATATTATTGACCACCTTTACAGCAGTGAAGATAAAGGAACAACCTGCTTGGATACATTATTCAAGAATAAAGAAAGCACCAGAACCTGAGAAGACATGGCGGATCGAACCTTCAGGACCCTTACATATGAAATTGTATCGGTCATAATTTGGACTTGTTTTATAACTGGTGTACTAGCTTGGGACCAAAACTTATACCTGATGTTAATGCAGAATGTTACTAATGTTTTTAATCGTAGCGACTGCTGGGTGTGTGCACAGTTGCCTAAATCAGGAGAAAGTCCGGACCTACCTTTAATTGGCGTTCCAATTCCCAATACTGTCTCATGGACTAATTTGTGGGTAAACACCAGCAACCTATATCCAAGGGAAAGGTTAAAATTTGGGATATGATACCTCCTGGGGGTTTGAAGAAATATGGAAAAAGTTAACCTCATGGTTACCTAATCTCTCCTGGTTAAGGCAACTGGTTGCAGGAATATTAATATTAATTGTTTTAATATTGATTACTTGTGCTATGATACAATTTTCTTTCTGGTATTGTAAACGATCTATGATAAGTTATGAAGATTGGAAAAGAAATGAAATCAAGCATCAAGTAGAAACAGGAAACTATTTCAAAAAGACTCTAGATGATAATGGTAGTATATAAAATGTTGCAAAAGAATTTGCAAAAGGACAGAAAAAGGGGGGATTTGAGACAAGGAGGCACAAAAGTACAAAATGTAATCAGTTCTAAGTAATGTTAAGTTTGATGGCTTTGTAATGGAAAATAACTGCGGTGCTTGGAGGTAGTTGACATAGTTTCAGGCCCTCAGGGCCTCAGTACAAAAGGTGTGAGAAAAGCAGAATAGAAGGACAGGACCCGGGGATGGGGATTATCCCGGACTAGCAGATGTCCAGGATGAGAGCAGTTAAACTAACTGATAAGTAGAAGGACAGGATGATTGCTGTGTCTGTAATGTTTATCAAGCTTGTTGGGAAAAGTAAACGACCCTTAAAGACCACCACATTTTGCATGCATGCCGGAAACTTTTGGGAAAATGATGTAATATGCTCAGTAACCATATAAGGATGACCTGTATAGCAGGAACTATCCCCCGTGTCTCCCGGTGCCGCAATAAAGAATACCTGCTTGTCAATTTGAAACTCTGTTGGCAAGTTTGTTCCTGGAGTTTTCTCCGAATCAGTGTACAGCTGTCAACAGGACCATACTGGCTGCGAGCAAAACATATAAAGACCCAGAACTCAGCAACATAAAAAAGTGACAATGACAGAAATCTTTGTAATATCTGTTCTATTATGTGTGACCATGGGTAATGGACAAGTATACTGGGCACATGTGTTAAATCCCCCATTATTACAACCTGTTACATGGTGCGTAGGATTCACTGGTATGCCACATGTTATAAACGTTCAAGTGACTTCAAATCAGACTAATCTTACTGAAATAATGTTGCCTGAAGTAGTGTGTGGTTATGTTAATTACACAGGTCAAGCAGTGATAGAGTGGGCACACCAAATTGTAAAAAAACAAAAACAAACAAAAACTTTTAGTAAAACAAAAATGGGGAATGATAGGGGAGACCCCAAATGCACTAATCAATAAAGCATTGGTTGTATAAATTTTCCAACGTTACCCAGTTCTGATTTACACACAGTCATGAATGTCCCCCCAATGATTAGGCATTTTTCTGCACTAATCTATGAAGGCCCAGATCCGATACCAGGGAAAGAACCCATTATGGTAACGCTAAAGTCTTTGGAAAATCATAACTGGCAAGGTCCTTTTAGGTTAATAACTTCGGGAAGAGTCTCTACAGAACAAGGACCCCGATGGATCCCCACACAATGTACCCATCCGTTTATACAAGGGACGGCTGCCAATGAAGATTGATGCTGATTCATCACTGGTTTGAAGTTAACCCGTAGGAACTGTACAAAGTTAACCAGTCTCTTTGGAGAACCAGTCAACGGAGAGCATATCCGTGCAGGAGCGTATCTCAGCTGGACTTTCCAGACACTAATAATAGACTGGGAACATTTGAGCCCTGAAATGGTACCACTGGACAACAGGGTTGCTTTTAGACATTGATTCTGTGAGGCATGCCTCACTACAGAACAGAATGACTGTTGATTTTTATTGTTAGCTCAAGACCATGGGTGTGAAGATTTTGCTGGTATGTGCTGCACGAATTTATCAGATCATCCATTAAAAGCATTCTGGACTTACTAACAAGGACAGCACACCTTCAGGAAGATGAGGGACTGAATTGGTTGAACATCGTGTTTTCTGGCTGAGCATTACAGGATGGCTTTACTTTTCTTAATCGTTTTGTTAGTCTTTTTAGGTATTCTAATCTGTGTGCCTTGATTGCTACAATAGTTAAAGGAGAATATAGAAACTTTGGCAAAAATAGATCTTAAATCTATAAAAGCTGTCTTTTAGTAAAACAAAAAGAGGGAGATGTGGGTGACGGATAGAAATAGTTAACGAAATGGATCCAGGCGTTATTGACCTGGTCCTGCTTAAGCCTCGGGAAGGGTAAAGAAAACACCAGGTGCTGTTGCCCTGGACAGGCTCAGGCCTTGGTAACTGTGAAGAAAACACCAGGTGTTAATGCCCTGCTTGGGCCTAAGCCTTGGGGACTCTAAAGAGAACAATGAAGGGTAAAGATCTGTTAGCAAAACAAAGCAGGCCGTTTGCAAGATAAAGCAGGATGTGCATCTCAAAGACAGATCAAGCAGTGTGAATATTTGTAACCCTTAGTAGTTTTGCTAAATCGGTATGATAAGGGAGTAAAAGAGTGGAAAGTTACTGCTTAGCACTTAGTAGAGTATAAAGGGATGCGAGACATGAAATAAAGGTCTTCAGATTTCA